CAGCGTGTAGGGACAATTTGAAGACACCATTAAAAAAAAATGTCCCAGCTAGCTGTGACGCGAGTGTTTAGTTTATAAGCCCCAGTTTATTATATCATCCTCAAAACTACACCTTCAATCTGGCATGGCAATGCCATTTATAGAAATAAACCCATAACATTGCTTCAATGGAGCCCTTTGTTGTACATTTCTGGTTAAGGTCAAGTTCTGACCACAAAGTTCATCTTATATTAAGCGACACAAATAATGTGAACTTGTAACGAGCTTAGATTGTAAAGAAAGGTTTTGGGGTAACTCAGTCCGACTTTTCGATTCACACGTTCACTCGTTGACTGTGACCCGTTTCCGAGAGTGCAAAAATCCACTTGCGCCAAAGTGATGCCTACAGTATTATTATGGGGATTAGCGGAGTGAGAGAATAAATTGAATGTATCAAATAAAATGCATTGCAAATGCTTTATGCAGAAGCAAAGTATAAAAAAAAAAAAAAAAACACACATACGCCCACAAATGTTCGTTGATAATTGATATTCGATATTTGATACGTGTGGCATTATTAATTTTGTTAGGGATGTTATTTGGATTTGCAAAGACCGAAGTGATACCCAAATCCCAATTGTTTTATTCAAATATCACACAAGCAAATTTGGCGCAAATCGATTTTTGCACTCTCGCAAATAATGGCTCCTGTTCATCCAATCGTGAACACATACCACACAAAAATGATACCGAATGATTTAGGATAAAACACTCTTTCATAAGATTTATAATAATTCACTGTTCATAGATGATTTTTAAAATAATTAGCAATTTTTTAGGTGTAAACTTTTTTTGACTCTCACTGTATATATGCAAAGTAACTACTTGGAAGAACTTGAAGTAATTGAAGATAATGTATGTACACCTGTTTGTACACGGTACATGATAACATCTACAGTAGGCTTGCGGGTGCACCATGTGAGAGAGAGGGAGGATTGAGGAGTCCTGAAAAGGACTCTCGGTAATCTTTCTTGAGGGTTTGTAGTCCTGAAAAGGTCTGTTGGTGTAGTCTTGAAAAAGACTGTTGGTTATCTTTCTTAGCTTATAGTTCTAAGGAGAAATATGGCGCTTGGAGAGGATGAGTGGCGGGAGTGGCTCGACGTTTCGAACAGGTTGACTATCCCTCGTCAGGAGTATAGTCTTGTTATGTTTTTTCTTCTTCACATGTAATAGTAGGAAACGTGCGCAAAATGAATAGGTGTGTTACACTTACACAGTCAAGCACAGTTAGTTGCAGAGATGTTTAGGCCATTAAACAAATATACACGTTCAGCGTCCCCGCCCGCTTCCTTTTTTGGGGCCGCCTCCAATTATTTTTATTTCTTATGATTTTTTATTTTTTATTTATTTTGAATTTTTTTTTGACAATTTTTTTGTTAAAGAAAAAAAAAACAATGAAAAACACTACTAATATGGATCTATTTCTGATTAATTTTTTTTTTTTAAATGTCGGCGGCCATCTTGAAAAATAGCCCGACTGTCAGGGAAAATGAACCGAGCGGCCATTTTGAAAAAAAGAAAAAGAAAAAAAAAGGGCCTCCTCCTTCCGTTTTTTCAAAAAAGCAGGACGCTAAACATGTATTTTTTTTATTTGGCCTTATAAAGTTGTAATAATCACTTCAAAACATTCCCATTTATGTAATGTTATAATATATAGAGGACAACAAATAAGACAGAAGTTTGAACCCAACTATAATTATAGGCGGTTTCGCGAACTCTCATGCAGCTTTTTGATATCTTTCATATTGTTTTTTTTCTTCAGATAAGCACAATCCCCTGAAGTTTGAACACAACGGGGGAAGACAGCAAGGAATAAGGGCTTAAACTTCAATTTTTAGCCGGGTAATTCAGGATCAATGGAGCCACTTCCACTAGCTCTGTCAACTATCTACATTATCGACGGTCAACGAGGCAGTTATTATACGGAACTACAAAATATACTACAAATGCAAAACAATTAGACTGTAACAGGCTTTCATTGTTCTGTGTTATTGTACTGTGATCAGAAGCGTAGCAGCTGATACGGGGGCACATGGGGCACATGGGGCACATGGGGCACAGGCTCTCTCCATCGAATAGCAACAAAAATAAATGAGAGAGAGAGAGAGAGGGCAGAGATGAAGGAAAGGAAAAAGAACGTAAATAATATAAGGAGATAGAATATTGCTCGAAAAAGTTCATCAAAGATTATTATGAGAAAGATGGAAGACATACGGGAAGGGAGAAAGAGAGAGTATGTAAGTATGTCCGTTTCACTTTAATTTGCCCACTCTAAAGAAGCGAGGAGTTTCCCCCTCCCAGCCTAGTCAATCTGCCCCAAATTTTGACCATCTATAGTTCGTCGTTTTTCAAGTGGAGTGCCGTGAGAGTGTTTTGGTTATATACAAAAATATATTTTTAAAAAACGTCAACTTCAGAAACTACAAGATGCCCATATATATATCTTGCCGAGTAATTAGTTAAGAAATAATAGTTCAGATATAGTAAAGTGTTGTTTCCTCTCGCTCGCTCTGCTCGATCGCAAAATTTAGGAGCGGTATAGTTTCAGGTAGCGAGGCCCATGAATATCCTCCAAATTATGATGATATTCGGGCACCTCGCTGCCCTAATATCGCCTTAGCGCCCGAATATAACCATTTTTGTTTTTAATTGTATTTTTATATCGAAACGACCGAGTATATAATCTTATATTTATCTAATGTATATTGATGACTAATAACATTTGTGCAATTTTTTTCGCTCGCTCGCAATATTTCAAATCCGGATATATTTTCGAGCAAGAGGCCCTCATGGCCCTTACACGAATGCGAAGGATGCATGGAAAACAAATCCTTTTTGATGAATTTCGGATTGGGGTGCCGAGACTAAATTAAAGGGGTTGAAAACGCTGATCTAGCATACTGAAGACGGATGCCCCCCCACCCCTCATAACTGAACCCAGTGCACGCTACGCCACTGACTATGATAATGCTACTTAATTGGTTTTAAGTTCCCCATACATCAATCTCAACTCCCTCTTTCTTCTCACCCTTCCCCCAGTCTTATAAATATTTTGTATTCCCCGATCTCAAATTAAAAGAATTATTTTTTAATAGAAAACCAAGTGAATCAATAACATCGTACACAACTTTGTATTTTTGTAATTTTTAAATGAATATTGTTTGGAAAATCTATTAAAATTAGCGTCACATCCTTTAGTTTACATTTTTACCTCTGACATTTTTGTTAAAACACCAAGCCGGGACCAAACCACGTCTAGCACCAACCTCTGACGTCACCATCTGAAAGATTGTGACTCAGTGTGAACTGGGGTTCTTCTGAGCCACAGTTTGTAGGTGAAGGCAGGGAGGTGACCAACTTAATGTATCTCTAGACCGACTCACATCTTCATACAGCTATTTAATCATGGTCATGTAATTCTTTACCACAGGCACGTATATCGGTTTAACGTAATTCTGCATATTGTGAAACTAATTTTTGAGAAACTTGGGAAAGAGAATCTTTAAAGGTAATGAGGTAAAAAAAATCAATATAAAACACAATTATGTAAACGTACAATACATTTCCACATCCTAATTGGAGATACAAATTTAGAAGATCCAAACTCCCCTCCTTTCCCTCCTTATTGCCTTCTCCAAAATCTTGCAAAAGCTCTATGCGCATTATTGTGTTAGTAAAAGAGCGCCATCTCTTGTCAAAACTTTTCTTAACTACCAGTAAGTATGAAAATGAAAATTGTTGTTGTAAACCAACAAAGGTTCGATAAGAATGATTAATTACAGGAATTGAAGGAGAATGGTTTCATACCACCAGTTTAGGACCCCGTCTTATAAAGAATTACGATTGACCCAAACCAAACGTAAGTCCTCCAATCAATTGCAAGTTTGCAGTCTCCTAAGTCCTATCTCTTATGTTCCCTTTTGCGAACGATATCGGCTCTTTATAAGATATTAAATATTTAAAAAAAAAATAAGACGGAGCCGTAGTACATACAGACTCTCCATTTTAACATTGACAGAATTCTTAAAGCTATTCAAATGACTTTGTTTTACCTTAACTGCTATACAAAGAAATAGAAACTTAAAAATAATGAACAATTTGAAAGATTTCTATATTTGAAACAATGGTGTACGTATACTCAGTTTGCCAACGAAACCAAAGTCTAAGAAAGAAAAAGGAAGAGAAAAATGAGAGAGAGAGAGAGAGAGAGAGAGAGAGAGAGAGAGAGTTGAAGGCCTATGACTATCATCATCTTCTTCTTTTCTTTTACTCGTTCTTCTTCTTCTTCTTCTTCTTCTTCTTCTTCTTCTTCTTCTTCTATTTCTTCTTCTCATCCTGCTTCTTTTTTAAAAACTTTTAATTCTTCATCTTCACCTTCTTCTTCATCATCTTCTCGACCAGGCCTAAAAAAAGAGAAAGATGTTTTATTGCCCTTTAGGTGCCAAAACATGGGTCGGTCGGTCGGAATTTTTTTTTTTTAAATTTCCTCTTTGGGCTAATATTTCTCAGTTAAATGATTTAATACATTTTTTCTTCTTAAAAACGGTAAACTATTACTTTTAAAAAGCCGACCGTCGATTTCAAACGTTTTGGGTCGGTTGCAAAGGGCAGTACAACACCTTTTGTTTAATTTTTGTTTATGCCTGATGATGATTTACTCTTAGTCTTAGTCTTAAAGTAGGGTAAATGTAATAATTGGTCAAATTCTACATCGTTAAAAAAGAACACATATGCGTTATACTTCATACAATATTATAAAATGAGTATTATGGGCATGAAATAAAAGGTATTTTAAGTACTGTGAAATAATTAAGAGTAAGACCTAAATGTCAGAGTAGTAATTTTGATGGAAGCAACAATTAGTCTGTTTTTAAAGACAACTACATTGTGTACGTTTAATTGAATCGATACCGCGATCTTATACACCGTACTATATACTGCATGCACTGTAGGCCACATGCATTTGCGTTATTTATTAAACGCCTCTACTTCGAGTTCGAAGGTCTGATGGAGTTGTCTACTAACTTTGGAAACTTTGTATTCTTACATTTTTCAGATTTATAGCTTCTTTTTTTCACCGTGGATAACTTGTGCTGTAGTTTTATATACAATTTGGATTAATACTGTGTGATATCAAGTATCGTCAGCGTGAAAAAATTAGGTGAGTTAAATGTTTATCTCGCCCCACTTTTGGTTCGTTTCGTTGCTAACGGTTTCTGCCGGAGTACAGGGAGAGGTAATACGGTATGAGATGAACGATGGTGTCTACGCGCGCCTTTTAATTTGTGTTGTTACCGTTAATCTGTTTTAGTGTTGCCTTTTGAAGACAATCTAAACATTATAAGACTATAGAGTAGAGCATTATGTTGTTTTCTTAAGTTTGTATGCTGATGTTTTGTGAAAAACCATGTTTTTCTATCGACGATGTGCTATTTTGAATTTGATGTTGTTTTGGCTGTTGGAAATTGGAGTTAGATCTAACTTTAGACCCTACCCTAGGCCCAATATTTTATAAGTTTGAAATTATTTATTGACAATTGTAATGTCATGACACTGACAGTCGCAATCCTGGCATGTCATTGACTTGTGAATGTTGCTTCTAATGTTGTGCTTTGATCTTATCATTTGACAAGGTAACAACCAGGAAACATTAGCTAGGGCCTAGGGTCTACTCTGTAGAACAATCACACTGCAAATTATTACATCTGATCACCACAGTTCGCTTTCTGTTCTATGATCAAAACCAGGCTTGATCATTGCTGGAAGGAACAGTGTCATATCTCTCAATACTCGAACTGATTTCTTTGATTTCTTTGCTCCTGAGACATTGTACATGTACATGCTACATTGTCCAGTCAAGATGCAACATCTTGCCCCTCTGCCTCTCTGACTTATATACATGTACATGTATAATGAGAATGATTATGAGTACAAGAAGATCAAGACCAAGATGATAGACCTGGAAGCTCGACTGATGTCTCAGCATTCTTCCAGTATTTGCGATAAAGGACTCACCTCCCTGGTATGATCTAGAGACTAGATCCATGAACTTTATTTTTTTCTAGAAGAACATTGAACTTTTGTGGAAGTAAGGACAAGTTTTGAGATGCAGTTTTTCCTTGTCTTTTTTTAAAGGAATCAACTGACTGGATTTTATTCAGGGAGCAGGGACCTTTGAATCGATTGAGAAAAGACTCTTTCAAGCATGGGGAACGGAGAGAGTTCTCCCCAGCTCAAGCGGCGGAATAGCTACCCAATGATGGCTCCAAAACAAGCCATGCCGGAGAAGACAGACCTCGATGATCGCTTCATGACGATTTTGGTAAGTGACCACAATTTGTTTGCGATCAGTCTGTTACACTGTACACCTAGACTAGAGTTTACATATTTCCCTCCTTTATTCCCTCTTTTTTAATTTAGCAGGTTACAGGTTGATTGCACATTGACAGCTCAAAATATACAGGACACTTTATTATTGCCTTTCACATTCTTTTGCTAATACTGTGACCTAGATTTAGCTTGAATGCTTTGAAGCAGTGACAGAACCTCTGGATATGACACAACATTTAATACAGATCAGAGCCAACCAGCTTTTAAAATACAAACTTTTGTCATTGATTTGTTTCTCCCCTTTTATTTTTCTCAGCAGTTTTAGCACTGAATCATAACCATAGCTCTGATTAAATGTCATTTAATTTTTCCCCAATTTTTCAATTGATTTTCAGTTTTTCATTATTATCATAGATCATGAAATTGTTTGTCTGTTATAGGGAAGCAACACCAATGAGCCTATGGGACTTTTACAGAACTTTTTCTTACTTGTTTTATTTTTCGCGCATCCATGAATACGGAAAGAAAAGTAAAAGACAAAAGCTGTTCAAGGCTTTTGAACCTGTCTGGGATGAGCAGTGACCTGCATTCATCAAAGATATTGGTGCTTCATCTTCCTTCTCCATACACTCCTCCATACACTCCTCCATACCTGGATTTGAAAGACTGCATCAGCATTCAGCGAAGGACTTTCGGACATCAGATTTAGTTTTGTGCAGACTCCCTTACTTCATATCTCCACACGCATTAAGGGGGTTGGAAGAGAGAGAGAGAGAGAGAGAGAGAGAGAGATAGAGAGAGAAAAAAAGGGGGGAGGGGGAGGTACACAATTTTGTGGGCCAGAGGAGAGAGAGAGAGAGAGAGAGAGGGGGGGGGGGGGGGTGTTGTCAACTTGTCTTCATCTCTACATTGTGTAAAATTCTCTCTTTTTTTGCTGTACACTGTACTGTAATTCTTTGTTTCTGATCTCCCAAACAACTTTATTCCATTCATGTTTAATCTGCAGACTAGATAGGCTACTGTATTCAACACAGGTAATGTACATGAAGGAGAACCTTAGGACATTTCAAAAATTCGCTATTGACAATTAATGTACATTCTCTAATACAATACATGGCCAATGTACAGACAGATCACTTCAATCATAAATGTATAACAACTTGATTGCAAAATTTGGCAACTGTATAAGAGACAAAGCATGGGGATGTACATGTAGGTCAGTAGTCTGTTAATGACAGGAACATATATCGGTGCTCAGCTAAAGTTCAGGAAACAGTGACGCAATACTTTTGACCACACCGTAGGAGTGACCGATTGTCATTCGACAGCGTTCCTCGTCTGTTTGTCGAGCTCTAATAACATCCTGACACATTCGTCTTTAAGTTACTGTATCTTTAATGTGAGTGTGTTGAATTGTATGTGGGTGTAATTGGTCTTTGGTAACTTGTATATATACAGGTATACCACATATTTTCCTGTTTTGCATATTGTGTGTAATAAGGATAGTGCGTTTTCAGAAGAAACATCCTATTTTAACTGATGTTATTTCAAACGTTGCCATGGCAAATCTATTTTGTAGTGAGCAAAACAAACTTTATACAATTGACTCTTAAATTGATGCATGTATTAGTTGGCCTTTCAGGTGGTTTTTAAACATTGTAAATCAGAATTCACTTACATGTACAGGTTTATCACAAAGAGCAAGTCTTTCCATTTCTAAAACATTTTTGTTCGTTAAAATTGGCAAAACTGTTGCAAAGATACATGTACAGTGTATGGTTACATTAAAGTAAGATAGTCTTGAATATAATGCACAACATGATAATTTTTCATATTATTAGGTTTTAGGGCAAAATGTTGTGATTGTTGTACCTGATGGTCAATTTCTAAAGCATTGTTGTTTTTGTTGTTTTTGTTCTTTCTGGCAAATTCACTACTTGACAGAAACAGAGCTTGCATTCTATTTGACCTCTTTAGTGAGTTTAGTCTATTTGCCCTGTCAATAGATCGTGGAATACTTTTCTTGAGTATGGAGTAGAATTTAGACTTTATAGTCTAACTACGGTTGTATAGGAAACTGTGTAGACAGGTTTGATGTAGAAAAGGAGGCTAGGAAATCCATGTCACGGGCCATGCCCATACGCTGCTTTGCAGACATGTATCGGTTAGTTCAAATCTAGTTTCTACATGTAGTCCATGAAAACAATCTGTTTGAGAGAAAATAAGTAAAACATAAAAATTGTACAATACTAGTAATAAATCAAAGCTTTTTTGGGGGGTCACAGTCTGTATTGGCCATATTAGACCACGAAAACAATCTGTTTTCAAAATTGTCTTAAAGTTAAAGAAATGATTGGTAGTGAAAATAACGGTGAATCAAAAGTTTTTTTTATCTCACCTTATAATTTGTCTATATTGTTAATTGTTTGATGTCGCATCGATATATTTAGGCCGAAAACAAAACTAAAAAACATTAAGTGTACTTGTATGCAAACGTAGCAGTTCACTTTCAACGCAAGGGCTTGTGATCAATGAAGATTGCATGATCTGAATGTACATCAGCAGTGAGTTCTTGTCTGTATTTTTGCGGAAGTACATACATGTACATGTATCACCAATAATGTTAATGCATCTATTGTACATTGTATGTTAACCTTTAATAGTTGGAATTGGAATGGATATTGTTAGTGTGTACAATGTACATGAAATTCATTAGGTCGAAATTAATTGTCCAGAAAGAAAATGAAATATGATAGTTAGCAGCATTTACAACGTTCAATGTAGACTGAGTTGTACAGTAATTTGCTTAATTAGCGTAATGTAAACAGTTTTCATGTACCCCAGTCCATGCACTATAGAATATACCATGGTATGATCAAATATGGGAATCGTAGGGAGTGATGCATTTAATTAATTGTCCTCTGTCGTCGCCATGGCTTGTAACCAGCGCATTCATACCCAATTGTTAATCCAAAGGTACGCAAGAGAGGATGCTACATGCAGCTCTATTAATCCCGTAGGATCTATCTCTCTTAATCATCACCTTTGCTAGTCTTATCACAAGTCTTTTTGACTTCATGACATGTGATTTTTATCTGTTTTGATGAATGTCATTTTTTAAATGAACCAATCTGTCTATGATTTCATTTTGTATAATGTAAATGTACACACTAACTTTTTTGGAAGGGGGTCTGGTCCATCTGGACTTGACTTTTTGCAATCTGTATTCATAAGCCCTACAGTATAAAGACTAGGGGGAAAAAAAAGGGGGGCTCGGGGCAAATTAGCCCCTGAAATGCCTAAAAGAGCCCCCCCCCAAAAAAAAAAAAAAAAAAAAAAAAAAAAAAAAATGCACAGAGTTCAATGCAAAACAAATTAAAGAGTGTTATTTTCATGCAAGCAAGTTTGAAAAGTAGCCTCATAAATCTTTAAAATAATTTACCCTGATGTAAAAACTTAAAAATCTTTGGGGTCCAGGTTTACAGGCTTTAGGCACCCATCTGTCCTGGGCACCTGTTAGTGTCGAGCCCTGTATATTGTACTCTCTTCTCCTGGACTCCAGTTTAAATTTGAAAAGGCTAATAGTAGGCCTACATGTACATGTATGTATTCAAAGTTCAAAGTTCAAAGTTCAAAGTTCAAAGTTCAATTTATTTCTCCACAAATGCAAAACATAGGGAGCTACATGTAGAATAAAATACATACATACAATACAATAATAGAACAAATACAATATATATAGTTGGAGCAATGTATGTTTTAAAACATGTATTCAAAGGGTTTTTACCTCCTTAGTTTATATTGTAGGATCATAATGTGAAAATTTGGTTTTTATGTAGTGACAATACTGTAGACAATTAAAATACGTTTACAGAATCCACAGATACATGTATATAAACGTTTACAGAATCCACAGATACATGTATATAAAGCATTAGAGCAGTATACTTGCAGAAAGTGGACTACTGGAATAAAGTTGAGGAAAGTCGACTCAGTCAAGACATGAAAATATGTCAATATTTCTAGAGACTGAGGCAGTTTGTGGACTTTGCCATTTTGAGTTTGACTTCAACTTCTGTTGTTATTCCCAGCGTTGAATCAATACTTGTTCAGAGTGTGTGTAATAGATGACATGCATACATTAATATGAAATGAGTCATCATTGTTTGTAATTCAGGCAATTAATATAGATTGATTGATACGGTGGAAAATGTGTACGGAAGTAGGAATACACGTGTACAGTACATTTACATTATACACAAAGAACCAGAGAGTTAATAACTTTAAATTGTGAGAAAAAACTTTACATCCTTAAATTAGTGAATTTCAGGCCTGAAATATACCAAATGATTTACATGTACTTCCGCAAGCCTTCTTATTTTCTGAGCATTATCACTAATAACAATGTCTAAATTTGTACAGACCTCTATTAAAAGTATGTACATTTATGCACTTTGATCAGATGATTGGAGAGAAAAGCAAAGCAAGTATTTTTTTATATTCCAACATAAACACATTGTGGTATTGTGGTTAAGGTCCAATTGTGATTTTGCGCATTTTGCATGCATTGTTGTGGTGCACAACTGTACTGTATATTGGAGTTAAAAAAATATATTATTAAAATACTTTGTGAATACTGGTAGTCTCTACACGTACATGCACAGTACATGCATGCTTCTTTTAGATGTTTGGGCAATTAGAGACTTTACACGTAAGGGGAAAAAATGTATGAAACATCACATAAATTACATGTAGGCCTACACAAGTTTGTAAGTCACAGAGATAGGAAGAGTAAGAAAAGGGTGGGGTAGGGAGAAATTAAAGTATTTAGTTACAGGAGTAGAAATAGAATGAAATTGAGAGAGTAAGTAGATGAATGAGAGAGAAAGAGAGAGAGAGAGATACTGTATAGGGGGGGGGGGGGGGCGTTGATGTTATACATGTACATGTACAGTAGGGGGGGGGGGGGGGGATAAAAAGAGAAATTGATCTACCGTAACTGGTATTGTGCATACCGGTACATACATGTACATGTAGGTGTAGGATCTTATAATAACTGTGAGCTCTGTTTATGTTATGTACATGAACATGCAAAATAGAGGCTTTGTTGGTATGTTAATGGCAAAATTCTTGAGCACTGCAATTCCTTCTCCTAAAACATTTACAACCTAAGGGCTTGTTCTACATGTATTCCTTATAACCTGTACTTTGATGTGTGAGGTATGACTAGCGCTTCAGGAATGTTTGGGAAAGTTGCATTATCCTATGAAAGTTTATTTTCATTCATTTGGGAATAACATTGTGTGCTGTGACATTATGAACTGTGGTCCTTGAATCTCTTTCAGGAAAAAAGGAACGCCTCCTGACTGTTAAAAACAAAGAAAAAAAGAAGCGATTGATCTCCTTGCTGGGCTCCACTCTGACCTTAATAAAACCGGATTCGTCATTGAGTCAACACAAAATATCTGTGATAAACAATTGAATTATGAGAATATTTAGTATCAAATATTCACAACTGGCACTGTCTACACCTGTTGGTAAGATCTTGCAGGTCATGCACTTGCATCATCATTTGTACTTTTTCCTGCTTCAAAATAAGGTTTTATTACTTTTTTCAATTGCATGATTAGTGAAAATTAAGATTAATATGAATATTATATCTTAATGGAGTTGTCCCCTTTTACTGGGAAGTATAATGTATTGTTTGTTTGATATTCCTGAAATAACATGAAGAGTAGAAGTCACCTATAATACATGTATGTTTATGTACAGTGAGCTGATGTATCCCTTTAAATGTGTGGGCTATTGTTGGACTTTGTAATGATGAGCGTGATATTGCTTGCAATGTTAGCCATGAGCTAATTTATTCAGCCGCACAGTTTGTCCTTAATTACTATCAAAACTATTAAAACACTTAAAAGGTTTTATTTCCTGTTCACACCGCAAACACTGTCCTATTTTATCCCTTTATACGGATATAACATTGCACAAATGGGAATGTTTTACAGTGATTATTACACATTTATAAACATCTGTACAGCAATTAACTGTGCTATTATTTGTGTTACCGACCTTGTAAACGGTCCAAATCCTATTAATTTTATGCATGTTTCTTAATACTGATACATGTGAAGAAAAACCCATATTATACTACATTATCTTCAATCACTTGTATAACTGTAAAATTACAGTTATAGTACTTGTAGCATTTTGAAATAAGAAAGGGCATGATTTCATCAATAGTAGCCATACCAGTGGGGATTATAGGCTTAGCCATGGACTTGAAAAGGTTTTCAGACATTCAGTTCACAGTACTTGTAGAGCTCAGGGGGTGGGGCCTCAATACATGTATACATGTAGATCTGTTTTGTTAAAAGTGGAAGATTGGGAAGAAAAGGAGACCAATTCAGACTGATTGGTGAGGTGAACGGTGACCTTAGAAAATAGCTGGCAAGGACAAGGACAAACTGAGAAATCAAAGAGCATGTATGGACTTTGTACCAATAGGCCTGTCATCATCAGACCAAAGTTTGCAAAATAACCTGCTATTTTTAGACTCAGGATATTTTCCAGAAAGCTCGAAGTGGTCTTCACCAGACTGATATGCTCATCAAGATTTCTCAGGATCTTTTCTCGACCAAACAGCCCACTAATTGCAACTGCGGGCTGATGAAGGTGCATATTAGCTGGCTAATTTGAGATCGGCTATTATTGTTATTATTTATTCGGCAAAAACAAAGAATTTTTTTAATACAAAACAAGAGTACATTTGGAAAAGAGTCACATGGATGCCAGGAAAAGTTAAAATAGCGGGTTATTTTGCAACTTTGGTCTGATGAGGACAGGCCCTTCAGAAAACATTCCCAGCCATTCTCTGTGTGCAAAACTTTGAACAAATAGGGTTAAAGATCACTAAAAGAAATGGTATGCAGTTTGAAGGATGAGTCATTGTGTGTGGGTGTTTTCCATAGGAATATATGGTAATACTTCTTATTGTTACCAACTTGTAATCCAAGTTGTATACTGTCTGGAGTCTGGACATGTCTTTAATCCTATTATAACTGTTGATGTTGTTGTTGTTATTTTGGTATGGTGTTAAAAGAAAGCTGTGCCAGAATGTTATCACAAGTACACACTTACCACCAGAATATGGGATACAGTATGTATATGATTCAAGTTGGCTTGACAATTCTATCTTTTTATATACATGTACACCTGTATCTATAGGCCCCTGCACAGTACAAGAACATTTCTTAAACTCTATAGACTGTTGTTTTTACATTGGAGCTCTTTTTGAGAATTGGTTTTATACTGAAACAAAGTTTTGTCAATTTTTAAAGAAAACACCCTTTGCAATGTGCAACTTACCGGGCCAAGAATGGATTTATTGTAATGTTGTATCATATGTAGGTATATAAGACTGCAAGGTTTGGTAGATGCTTTGATCACTTTCCAAACATAATTCACTAATCACTATTGATAGTGTTACAGGCCTTAAATTTCAGTACTTTCAGGGCAAGGCCACTTTTCTGTAGGGCACATTCCTATATTACAGCACAAATAGGAAGAATTGGAAAGGGCACACAAAATCTCCAAGGCCAATGAGAGGGGCATTGAGGCCACTCACAGGGGCATCCAAGGCCATGGCCTTGGTGGCCTTGGATTAATTTAAGCCCTGGTGTTACCTCTTGAAAATTGTCAGAGGCTTTGTCTAACCTAGCAACAAACAGTGAATGCAAAATGATATTGATCCTTTAAACTACAAAAACAAATAAATTGTTCTAAATAGGTAAAAGAATTAAGTGACCACTATAGCAGAGAACTCATGTACGTGTACACTGTAGGCCTACACCTTGTACGACTATACATTTAATATGAAACTGGCTGTACAGGTGAAGGTAATATAATTCATAGGAAGTTGGAGGTCAGTATATATAGAAAACCCGATCCTAGATAAAACCATTGATAGAAGATAACCTTTCCAGTCAAGTTCAACCAGTTTTGTGCAATGTTTTATTAAAGGTAAAGACCAGTATTGGAAATGCCCCAATTTAAAAAAATGAAATGGAAGCTCTTATTACCAATCATGTGAAAGAATATGTTTTGACTAATACATGATGATAAAAAATTTGCCGGGAAACCGCCTACTAATTCATATATTTGGTAAATTTGTTTCTCTCATGGTCTGTGAGAGATATAGGGTAGTCCCATATACATCTTTCTGTGTATAGTGCTTGTAACTTTATGAAGAATGGGCCAAATTTCTTATCATTTTGATGATTCCAAAACCTTGCAGATGCTAGATGCTAGATGATCAACCTTTTCTGATCGATTCCACAACGTTTCTTTCACAATGCAATCGCATGACCATAACTGGTCTTTACCTTTAAAATCAGCAAAAGTGTATTAAACCTTTGATCTGATCCACAATGAATGAGACGTGCTATTAACATGTCACTTCATAGTCAGAAGGATTATGTGTGTCTCTACATTTTTTAGTTAAAGCCCTTCTGATTCTAAGCAGATGATTCATTCAAGTTTACAGGTACGTGTATCTTCTACATTTACTCTACAAAAACAAATCATGGTGATGAGCTAAATTGACCAGTTTGTCAAGGCATTTGTATGATTTCAAATCCACCTTGTACAAGTTTAGTTGTTGCTGTGGTAGGCAAGCTTCTGGAAAGCCCTTTGTCGTTATCTGTTGACTGTACATGTACAGTACATGTAGATTATTCATTTGACTTTGATGTGTACTCTTGAGGGTCCTACCTTGTTGAGGGTCCTTGGGGGTTCATTGACTCGAGATCAATTAGACTGAATGATTAAGTGATTGATTCATGTTCTATAATGAAGACTATATGACCTTGTCTGTACTGGACTGGACATCAAAGCTAGGCTGACCATTGGACCTCATGTGTGGTCAGTGATCACTGGTCAGTATATATGTGCATTGCGCATTGTTGATGAGTCATAATCATATCCTGTACAAATAGAGTATACAGGTATGTACAAGTCTATGGTGTTCAATATCGGAGTGAAAACAAAACCAACAATAACAACAACAACAGCAACAACCCCAACCCTCCCCCCAAAAAGTAGCTCACAGAGACAATTCTAGCTTAATATATTCTGTATGCAAATACATGTACTCATATGATCTGCAATGCATTTCATTTATAATTGTGTGACATTTACTACATTCATTAAAGCAAATTTATGAGTGAATGTTCTGTATTCAGATAATAAAAATGGATTTTGTCACAATGACTGTCACATTTCTCAATCCTGTTTTGTTGTTTTACTCCCCCCCCCCTGAAGTATTGATTGTTTGAGTGATTCATTAAAGGAAAAACACCTTCTCTTTGCCCTCTTTTTCATTCTGGAGGATTTAACAAATTAGATTTGAAGATTTTATCATTTGCATCTACATGTACATGTACATAATTTCTCTGTGGAATAACAAAAGAGATGTTTTCAAACTGCCTGTCATACTTCAGATATTTCTGTTTTGTCAAACCGTTTTGTGTTTACCTGCTAACTTCTTGCTTATACCGGCAGACAAAGAGTCACATACCGGTACACAATGTACATTGTATGCATGAGGTTTACTTTATCGCTTGGATTAAGCATT